TTGATGACGTCGTTGCGTCAATGAGGTGCTGATGAAAATATTGTCAGCTTGATTGTACCGACACAAGTAAACCACTTGAGTGGATGTAATTAAGGAAATGGAACAAATAAAGAAAGCATAGTACGCACATGCGTGTGTACATACGTATGTAAGTGGGAGTATGTAGGTGCACGTACTCATATGAAATGAACGCACCGAACAGATGAGAGTAGTTACTTGCATATACAGTGGTCGAAAAAATTATAGACGCACTGGGACAAAAAAAATCTTAAAAACTCAACGGTAATTTTAGCCATTTGAAACTTGTACTTCACTGTATTAGAATTGAATAGGCTACACAGCTGCATACTCAGAATCTTTCTAAGAAATCTAATTAAAAAAGCTCGAAATTTTTACGTTTTTTTTTAATATTGCACAAAATTGGAAATTAAATAAAACTTGTTAAAATGTGGATCGGCTATAAATTTTCGACCACTATATTTATTTATGTATATATACATATATGATTATTCCATTCTTGAACAAATCACATGTAACCATTTTATCGATCGCCCGGCATTATACCTAAAAAAAAATTATTTCCTTGCAGGCGAATAATTTTGTGTAGGAAATCTCGATTTTAAAAGTGTATATGCATATACCTACAAACATTTGTAGTCATATATGTGCATATAATTTCCTGCATTCTTTACTGATCTAAATTTAGCAATCGTGTAATTTTTCCAATAAAATTTTTTTAACCTCCAATTTTAAGTGCAAATAATTAATAAGTGCATATGGTGTGAATGCCAACAATTTGCTGGCGACATTTTCATGATGCAACAAATGGTTTCCTTCAACTTGGAAAATGCCATTGTAATGCATGCCAGCACTTAAAATACCAAAATGTATGCACATTAGGGTGGTCAATAAAATATCAACAGCATGGGGCATCCATTTATTTTGTTCTAGGGTAAAAATTAAAGACATCCAAGAAAATTTAAAAATAAAAGAAACACATTTTTTTTTGTTTATCGCGAAATTTCACAAAATTTTAACTTTCAGATTTCAAGTAAAAATTTTGTCAAATTATTGCAATTTAAAAAGAATTAAACTTTTTCAAACCCCTAAAATGTGTTGAAAAGGATTTGAAATTTTCGTGCATAGCTTCATTTTGTACATAGAACGAAATAAAGGGGTGTCCCATACAAAATTTAGATGTTGATATTTTTAAGGACCACCCTAATGCACATATATACGTATTTGCATATTTATGTGTACTATGTATGTATATACGTGCGAGTATATTTTAATGCGATATGAATTCCATGTGAAATTGCTTACTGTGAAAAGGGGTGAATCAAAATAACCAATGCACAGAAAAATTTGCTCTACATTTTTAACACCGTACTGAGTTCGAAAAGAGCCTCGGAGAGGTAGAAAATTTATTAAACTAACAAAAAATTTCTTAAACTTCCACTTCTTAAACAGAACTGTAACCATCTGAGCGATTTTTCCGACAGATTAATTAGTTTTGACGGCTTCATTTTTTTATTAAATTTTGATGACTGTTGGCCTATTTGCGTGGAGTTAACTATTGAGACGATGAGCTCATCATACTTCAAGGTCATTGGTTTCTAAGAAAAAGGAACGTTCTATAATATAATTAAATGTTTTCATGCCACAGCAATATTTTTTATTGGTTTTAAAAATGTGAACGAATCTTTTGTGCCACCCCTTCGAAGTGGGCGCACACTTTCACACATACATATGTATGTATATATGTTTATACTTTATTTGCACTTTTGGCACATCCTATTTATGTATTTCTGCCGAATGTTTACTGTCCAATATTCACACTTTGCATATTTTTGATTGCGATTTCCTCTCAACACCCCTAGATGGGGGAAAATAAAAGCATCCGCAACTTGTATATCGCAGCGCAAAATATTTTTAAGATCGCAAGGCTTCAATTAAATCGCGAAATTGTAGTAATATACAGTACATATGTATATTTAAATATGTAGATACTTTTAAATATAACATTTTTTGGATATGAGTGTATTCCCTGTAGGTAAAAGTGGTATTAGGATAACACCTGAGTATGAGTATTTCTTAAAATAAATGAGAAAATAAAAAACACAAAATTTTAAAATTTTTAATTTTTAACAGTTAAATGTAATGTAGTGTAGCGGATAGCATAAGCATCTGTATTTTTAAGCACTTTCAGAATATTATCATTAGCTCTTATTGACCAAGTGACAATCCTTGTTGCTGTAGGATGCTGTAATTATTTACGAATAGAAAAGGAAAGCTTCAACTATATTTTTCCACTGGAACATTTGACTATCAGCTGCAGTTGAAAAATTCCGCAGATGATGATTCCGCGTTTGATGGTCATATAGAATTATGCGCTAGAACTGAGCAAATAATCAAAATATAAATATTAACATCTCTTTTTTTTTGCAAAAATTTTTGAATACATATGCCTTCCTTTTTGTTCACCATCAATCGGCGTTGCATTTACATATGTATGCACTTATGGAAATAAAATTATCTTGAAATAGACACAGTCACTTGTTTGCTTCGAGGGTTACATTAACGCCAACTTTTGCATATAAAAATTGTATGGAAATGAAAAAGTACCATAGAGGAAAACACTGTTCAACAGTATAAATAAATGCTAGTTTAATGAGCTTCAAAAATAAGAAGCAGCTGTGGCGCGTCTACCTATTTAACTGTATATTACATTAGGGTGGCCCAAAATAAAAAAGATTAAAATGTTAAGCACTCACGCCCTAGGATTTTTCTTAATAGAAAAAAGAACACTCCTTTTTTATTTAAAACTGCCTTAAATCCCATAAAGATTTCCATGTATAATATATGGGGAAAAAAACTTTTTCTTAGAAATGGTATAGAATTCTTGAAAATCAATATTTTTCGATCAGAAAACTCTATTTCTCTTTAGGAGACTTTCAATAATAAAACCCAATTGTTTATTTTACCATTTTTTAATACTAAATATTTTTAGTGGGTCTCCCATTGCATTTTTCGAGGTTTTTGGGAGTTGTATAAAAAATAGTTAGTATTAAACAAAAGTTAAATAAATAATTAAGTATTGTTACTGGAAGTCTCCTAAAGAGAAACAGAGTTTTCCGATCGAAACATATTGCTTTTCAAAAACTATATACCATTTCTACGAAAAAGAGATTTTCCCGATATAAAATACATGGAGAACTTCTTGAGCTTTGAGGCAGTTCTAAATATAATTTTTTTTTTAAGAAAAAAATATGGTTATTTTTTTTACGTTTTTTTGGACCATCCTAAGACAAACACAAAGCCGTCGACTCTTTTCGATAAAAAGAAGCGACTTTCATATAGAATGTGTATAATTTAGAGTGAAGAATTTGTTTAAAAAATATATCACTATTTTCAAAAGAAAATAAAATTTTAATAGAATCATTATTAAATCTACTACAAAAGTGAGGCGAAAATACTTTATGGTTCCTACTGAAAATATTCATATTTCATCGTGTTTCAGCAGTGAAGATTTCATTGTAGAACTGGTTTAAAGGGGATATCCCCTCATGCCTGAGGACGAGGCCTTGAAAAAGTCATTGATACCATTTTCAAAAAATTAGCGATAAAGCATTTATGCTTTCCATCATATGCATGTGACTTGCAAGGCGTAAGGTGTTGGTTTTCAATGGGGGTAGTCCAGCATTCTTCGTAGTTGGAAGCTTTTTTCCTCACTACAGGACTTTAAGTACAATTTCCTTAAAAGCTATGAAAAATAGACTAGAAATTCATACTAATAGCACACAGCGGCAAAGGGAGGAATATAACCCGCCTGTGTGGAAATGTAGTTGTACTGCATATTTTTTTCTGAACTCTCGAAACTTTATAATGAACCTCGATCACTAAATATTTTTAGAGATATACATACATATGTACATAAAGCTTAACTCCATCATTTTTACATGGTTTTCTTTCAGCGTATGCCAATCTATCGCTCGAACCGGCAATACGCCAAAAACTAATAGCACCACCACGCCCATTACCCACGAACCTGCCTCTCTTGGCACACTCTCGGCTGCTGTTTCATTTCAATTTTCACCTCACAAAGAATATCTTGGCCATTAGCAGCGTTTATAAACAAACTGTTGCTCAAAAGCACAAAAGCACAAAAGAAAAAAAAAGCGAAAAAATAATAAATTCTTTTAAATAATTTGTTCCGTCTAAGATTGTGTTATTTTTATGTACTTTACTTCCAAGAATTGTTTATAGTTCGCTGTGCGTTAGACACAAATGATTTTAATCAGAAAACTTAAACACCAGCGAAAAAAAGTCGAGTAACATTAAAGAAAAACTGTACTACGCAGCTTCAAAACACATTTAGGTAATTTCCAAAATCGTACGAGTGTGTATCTAAGTAGTTTGCATATTTCTTCTGGTTTTAAATTTAAACGAAACTGCTTGGGTTATTCTCTCCCTTTTAGCCTCATTTTGCATTGCCACATGTTGCAAATTAAGTTTCTATGCAAATCGGCAGCATGAAGTTAAGCGTAATGCCGAAAATCTGTTTTCATTTTTGGTAGTTTACTTGTAAAGGCTCCTTAGCTTACTGCAAAACATGTGTGGTTTTTATTTTTAGGGATAAAAATATATGCTCATATATTTTTTTTAAAACTTCTTCAATGCCACATACAGAAGTGTTGATTATTAAATACCGAGAAGAAGGGTCTTTGAAGATCATTCTATATTTTTTATACTCTATTCGTTTGGGTGAATTTTTTTTTGCTAAATAATCATGAAAGGCTTCGAAAAGGACAGAAAAACTACCACTTAAAATACCACTCAATCCAATAAAAAAACTGACCGAAATTAACTTATACCAAAACTGCATAAAATCTTGCAGCGCTATTTGAATAAGAGAGCCTTTGGGTCTTGAACAACTTTCAAAATTTTTAATTTGCAGCTCTACCTCTACCAATATTATTTACCATCTTTTTCCCTTTCAGATGTTGAAGAATTATCAACAAAATTGATGGCAAAATTAGCGGAGGTACAAAGTATGGAGGGTGGAACATTTTTCATTGGCAATGCCGATGCATTAGGAGTACCAAGTACTTTCCAGCCGCAGCATGTACTATTACCGGGTAAGTAGTGTGAAAAATATATCGCTGGCTTAGAGTCAAAAGTCGCTAAGTTAAGGTTTTCAAATTTTACAAAAGGGAATAAAAAACTTTCAAACTCATTTTCTTCAAGCAATTTTTTGCAAAAATGCTATTACAAGATTTCACTTTTCACTTCAATACTTCGAAACTGGCGTTCGTTCACTTTTAGCATATGTGCTTAATGAAATTTCATAAAACACCATAAGGACAGTAGGCAAAATACATTGAAAGATTTTGTTTATTCTGGCAAGAAATTCTTACAAAAAAGCGCAATGGGCGAGTGAGCAAAGCGCTGGCGTGCTATTCGAGAGACCCACGTTCGAGTCATCGGGCAGCGGAATTTTGGTTTATTTTTTTATATTTTTGTTTTAATTGCATTTTTTTAATTTTTTTTTAATTACATGTTTTTTAATTTTTGTATTTAACTGGTTTAGAAAGAAAAATATAAATTTTTAACTTAACTGAATTTTTAGACACTGTTTTATGCCTTTATTTTAATTTGTATTTTTATTTGTTTTCTTTTTCTAATTTGAGTTTTAAATATTACTGGTTTTGTTGTTGTTTTAATTTTTAGGAACTTATATTTTTTACTTTGTTTAGTTTAATTTTCTTTTAGATGTTATTGTTTTAAAAAGCAAAAATTATTCCTAATTTCATTTAATTTATTATCTTATACTATTTAAATTTGTTTACTTTAAACTTCTTTTAATTTTATTTTTTATTGTTTTAACAAGACTTTTTTAATTTAATTTAATTTTTAGAAGCTTATTTTATTTTGGTCTTGTTTTCATTAAATTTTTTTAAATTTAATATACTTTTAATTTTCAAAATATATTATTTAAAAAAATATATATATTTCTTAATTTAATTTAATGTTTAGGAACGTGTTTCGTTTTTTTAATCAGTTTTTCCTTTTATTTTTATTTACTTTTCTTTTAATTTTTAGATTTTATTGTTAAAAAAACATATATTTAATTAAATTTCTAGAAATGTATGCATTTAAAAAATTTTTTTCTAATGCTTTTTTTTCTTTTCAATTTGATTTTAATTTTTAGTTTTTATTGTTTTAAAACGAAAAACATTTCTTTTTAATTTCATTTAATTTTTAGAAAACTTATTTCTAAAAGAGAAAGAGAATAACGCTAAGACCTCCTCGTTGGCACCTCTTTCTATTAGTCTTTCGACTATTGCCTTTTGAAAGACTGCGGTAAGCAGTGTGGCCAGATTTATTTTTTCGAAAAACTCTAAATTTCCGGAAAAACTATATTTTCAACCAAAAAATTTTAAAATTTGAAAACGGAGGGAGATCTTATTAAACATAAATACGAAAAAAATAATTAATTTAAAACAAAATAGCATAAACCTTTTAAATTATTCTTAACTAAACAAAAATAGACTTTATGAATTTCAGCATTTACATCACATTTTGTTTTAATGAAATTCAGTTTCAAATTTTCATAAATTGCTTTTTTTATTTTTTGGAGCATTTAATTCGATATTACAATCTTTAGTTCTCGAAATATTAGAGAGTGCTTGAATTTCTAGTTTATTTCTTGTTTAATTCAAAGTTATTGGGGAATATAGTATTTCCTTATTTGCTTAGGTGACTGGAATGCAAAGGACAACTGAAACTATCTGTTTGAAATGAGAAAACGCTTCTTCTTTATCGTCCACTTTTATCGTACAAATTTCATTACAGAAAAAATTTAATTTGGAAATGTTGAAACTAGGATCTAATTTAAACACCTATGTTAAAACTGTCAACATTGGTAGTGAGTTGAAAGACAGTTGGCAGGTTTGCCCGGTTAGGGGAGCTGTGAAACTGTTGAGTTTCGTTATGGCTTTAAAGCTACACGGGGTCCTGTGGTGAGTTTTGAGGGCACAATAGAGCCAAGTGTGTATCCGTTATACCTATCTATGTATCTAAGCTTCATTGCCCAACTTAGGAGCTACTTTTTGTCATTTTGAAAGCAGTTGTCAAAAACTAAAACATTAATGGCATTATCCATAAAAAACTAAGTAGTTGTAAAAAGTTGTATGAAGTGACATTTTCATACAAATTTGCGTGCAATTCTTTAATTATTTTATTTTTTAACGCTTATATGGTCGAAACCTTACCAATAATTCCAAGTATGTACTATGTGCCAGTTCTATCAATAAGTTGGCTTTGGAGCGTAGTCTAGAAAAATGCGCCCTGCGTAGGTAGTTAATATATTTTTCAACTTTGCTCTCTTTCGCCTTCAACGTCTTACGCAGCGGGATGTTAAGGACAATGTACACGCCACTTGAGTTTGACAATGAACAATAATTGAAGTGCTTGACTCTCATTTTTGACTTTCCTTACTAAATATTTGGTTTATCCCAAGGAGGCTCACATGGTCTCAAGATTGTATTGTTACATGTAATGCGGCATGACCGTTGAAGTACTGAGCGTGTACAATATGGGTAACATGCATACACATTAGGGTAGTGCAAAATAAGTAAAGTTGGAATTTTAATGCTCTCAGCACCTAGGATTGTTCTATATCGAAAAAAATTTTACCTTTTTTATTTATTTTGAAATTAAAAATATTTTGAGGTCGTTCAAAGCGCTCAAAGTTTCCCATGTATTTTATGTGGGGAACAAACAACTTTTCGTAGAAATAGTGTAGAATTCCTCGCAAATAAATATATTTCGAGCAAAAAGCTCTGGTTAAGGAGACTTCCAATAACAATACCCATTCCCGTACATGGAAAACTTTGAGCGCTTTTAGCGACCTCTAAAGAGTTTTTGATTTAAAGAAACAAATAAAATTGGGGTCGATTTTTTTCGATATAGAACAATTCTAGTGGATAAGAGCATAAAAATTCCGACTTTACTTTTTCACATGCATTTTTGGAACACCCCAATGCAAATACATTCACAGAATTTTTACATGTACGTACATAAGTATAATCGAATGTCGAGATTAATTGTTTTTGGTGTTTATGTTATGAATGACATTAGTTAGAGAACACCCGCTGTTCTGGGTTTGAAATACTTCTTTGCCTTATTAGCTGAAGGTGTTACTGAAATCTAAAAGAGTGAGTGCATTTAATGCATTTGTGTCTTGGACATACATACATATGTACGAATGTCTGCAACTCGAGAAGAATAGGACATGAAAAGTGTTAAAATTTGCATTGAAATGTGTGTTGATGAAACGAAAGAAAAGGAGCAGAACCTAGCAAGATTCGAATAACTGAAAGTCAAGAAACTTCACTTCACACAAATGAATTAAAGAACTCTATAAATAAATATGGACAAAGTATTATATGACAATTATGATGTGCGGCTGCCATACGAGACACGTCGCCAGACGCATCCATTTGCGTGCGCCAGACTTATGTATGTCTCCGCGAACGATCAGCAGTTTTTCATCTCACTTTTTCGACTTTTTTCCCCTTAGTACTGGAGTCACAGAAATAAAAAAAAAAAAAACGAATGCCAAGCTATTAAGAAATATGCAATTCATAAGTAAACTCTTTTCAGGCAACTTTGTAAAGTGTTTTGTAATTTATTTTCAGTGTCCGCTAATAAATTCGAACCCCTTTTAAAACATAAGTGTGAATGCGAATAGCTTTTTCATGTGATTTATTAAGCTGTTGACGCGCCAAAATCTTAATAAAATAATCCTTAAATGAAATTCAAAAAAATAACAGTATCAAGGTTTAAGGTAAAAAATAAAAAAATAAAAATGGTGATGTGCTCGTGCAGGCATTTAATAACTTTTATTGGGCGTCTCCTACAAACATGTGTCGCCACACGTTACCCAGCTGCATATACATATGTATGTATGTACATACAGTGCCGGCCACTTGAATAGCACCCCCTTTTGATTTAAAATACAAAAAACAAATAGCACAAAAACCTAGTAAATCCGATTTTCAAACTTTATACGAAATTTATCATAATTTTATATAAACAATAATAATATTACAACAATAATATAAACAATATAATATATAAACAAAAGCGAAATTGTGAACTATGGGAATCAAAAGCGGGCGCTATTCAAGTGGCCGGCACTGTACATACATATGTATGCAAGTAAGTCGTTTCTCGTTTGACAATTTTACGCCCTTCTTCCGCATTTACAAATTTTGGACGATCAACAATTTTTTGTTTGCCGATCACGTTCGACCCATTGTGACAGACGTGCAGCACATATCAGTCGCAAAGTAATGCACTCTTCGTTTTTTAAGCCATTTTTTTGTTGCATTTTTACCACGGGCTTTTATCTTTTTATTGGTCATTGCAACATTAAAATTCTGTGTTGCGCTTTTTTGCAATAACGTTGATGACAGTCACATGTCACATAGGTTTGACAATTGTATGTCAGAAAAATTCGTGCTTGTAAAAATGCCAAATTTTTTGTCAGGATTATAAGTCAATCGGTGATTTACCAAAGGGAATAAGTCAGCATTTTTTCGATATGACAATTTAGGTGCAGTTCAGTTCAAACATGAATTAACCAATTCGAGTAAGGTTACTTTCTGAAACAAGTTGCTTTTGACTTAATTATAATGACAAATACTAAATATATGATGAACAAAATTTTAGTTTTCTGGACCTCATTGTAAAAATTGCAATGTATAGGTTGTTGAATTGTCTTCAGTATTATCATTCAATGTTTCTTGCAATGTTCCACGGAAGCTTCTTTTATAACTCCGAAGATTCTTTGTATTTGACAAATTTCCTATGCCTGATCGCAACTTTTGTCGTACGTTAGTAATTGTCTTAAGCACAAAATCGTATTCTTCTTGTTCTTATTTGGCACTACAAGTTTTTGTCGATTTGGGCCGAGACAAAAAAACTTGGCCCGTTGCCTATATCCTTTGCGGATTAGCGCCAATCGTTCATCCCAAGTGCGGGCAGGTCTATTTAGTCAAACAATACTGACATACGCCTGAACTGTTTTAACAGAAAGTAGTTAATGAAAAATCTGGAGTACTTATTACTTGAGATACTAAAGTCCTCTTTCAAATTTCATGCTGAAATATGTTCGTTTTTATAGGTGAGGCCAATTTCATTAAAAGTATATATTTGCCGCTTTTCTGTTTTTTTATTCATGTTCGGCAGAGCTTCTCCTCCAATCTGTGGTATAGTCTTGCTGTTGTCACACAAACGGCAGGTGCCGCCTCCGAACGACAGATGGTCTTAGGCATAATTTCGTCAACTCGGCCATAGAAACTCATAGATTTTTATATGAACTAACAGGTTGAGATCTCGAGCTGACTTACAAGACCTGAAACACTGGTGATTCAATACAAAAGGAGAAGTAGTAAAGAATCGATCTATTGCTTCAAAAAATTAGAAGTGAGGGCTAATGAAAGGCCAGCCTTTTTTCTCTTTCCATTCCCAAGAAGCCAGTGAACAAAAAAATTCTGTTCGCCTGCGATTCAGTTCTAATAGGTTCCCCTGCAGATGACTAAGTCTAAATTTAACCTTTTATTAATTACGTTACGAGTATTATGTGCAAATTTTTCTTAGTAGGTATGTGTATGAATGTATTATATTTTCAATAAGAAATTATAATACGTCGCGAGAATATGTGTTGTTCATCAATTAAAGATTATATGTTGTATGTACATATATATGTATTTCCTTTGTTCTAATTACTTTCCATTTTATTCTCTTTCCAGAAAAACCGGCAAAACACCACCACGAACGGCGTATCTTAAAAACATTACAACCCGGTAATGTTTATATTGAGGAAAGTAGTTCAAAGGGTTGAGCGATTTAAGCTCATAAACTCAAACTAAAGTGGAAATGTATCTGGAATTATGTAGTCAACGCAACGACTACTTTAGCTAAGAGGGTGGTACAATTAAAAAAATATATAGTACATATATGTATGTAGATGAAACAAATTTCGAGAAATTTTTCTTTTTTTGTGAGTGAAAGTAGTTACCACTTACATAAAAAAGGGAAATCAAACAATGTTTGACAAGTAATTATAACTTTGACTAGCTTTCATAAATGGAAGCATGGGTGGGGTATGACATGCGCTACATACAAATTATAAATGGAACTTGGAAAGAAAAAATGGAAAAGAAAATAATACAATATATATCTGTATGTATATTCAATGACGTTATTTGGTAAGCAGTAACAATTTTCAATACCTTTAACGTGCGTAAATGTACAAAAATTCGTATTTAATCACACATATGTACATAGGCTATGCCCAGTGGGAAGAGCGTGACTGACGAAACCTTAATAAAGGTTTTCAATAAGTTCGCCTCGATCTTGAAATGGAATATAGCGAATTATGTTTGAGGCGGACGCCACTCGATAGGACTAAGGTTCGACCCCTGGTCCGAGCAACATAAAAAAAAAAAAATGTTTTGTTAATAGCAGTCGCCCGTCAACGAGCTTTTTCTGGCATAAAAAAAGCTTCTCGTAGAAACCAATCTGGTATTTGGGGCGACGTAAAGCAGTAAAGCTGTGTGAAATTCCATTTATTTTATATAAATATTATATTGTTACAACTTCTCACGTTGGTGAGGATCCGAGTGATCTGATTTTCAATAGTTCTGCCGCGCTGCTCCGACTGAATTTTTGCCAATGTGCGGGGTTTTGTTTGCATTAAAAGCTTCGCTCGATTGCTGCTTATTGGCATAAAGCTACGATCTTCGAAAATCCCCCAATAAAAAGTCTAACGGGTTAAATCGCACTATTTTTGGTGGCGAATTCACGTCACTTCTACGAGAGTTAACCATAGAATGTCTATCGTTCGCATAGAATGTCTATCGTTCTACGGGTTTAATATCCCTATAATTTAAAATAAATCGTTTATCATCGTTCTGCAGCGCTCGCGGTTGGTCGGTCGGAAGAACAAACAAACACAAAGTTTAAAATTTTCACGATTCACTTTTCCTGCTGGGTTTTAAGAGTATCAAGACTACCAGTTACATGCTTATAGTACATACATTCTATATGTATATTAGGGTGCATCACTTTCCATAAAAAAAAAATTCGGTACGGATTTTCCATCGAAATTATAAAATTTATTATATTCTAAGATTTTCGTCAAAATTTTTTAGAAAAATATTAATATTAGTTAAACATGCTTACAATCGGATATTTTTAGATATGAGGTGATAAATTTTTTTTAAATTAATTTTATTTATAAAAACTCCATTTTCTGAGGCTTTTTCAAATCAATCCTGCTCACATAAATCTTAACCTTTTTCCGAAATGTTTTGGCGAAAGTCTTAAAATATAATAAATTTTATAATTCAGGCGGAAACCAGCGATTTTTTTTTTGGTGTGGCACCCTAATAAAATTTTTAATTTGTGTGAACATAAAATTTTATGACTTATGTAACGGAACTATGTGCTCGTTTAATCATAACTCTAGGTATACATAAATGCATAAATACATAAACTTATTTTGAATATAATAGTTATTTTCTTATTACATACTCATACATAATAATATGTACTTTGTTGTTGACTTGTTGTAAAATAATTTTTGTTTTATTTAAATAAACTTAAATATCTTTTTTTTCTAAATTATGCTAAAACACAAGCAAGCGGTAACTAATACTCATTAAATGCAACGAATTTAAGTCAATTGATAAGGTTTCTGAAAAGAAAAAGGTATAAAGAAGTAAGCTTAAAATAAAAGTATGTTGAAGGCTATTAAGAAATTTTAGAATACTGTATGTAAATATGTATGCTTAATATTGATAACTAACATAAACACTTATAACTACTTACATACCTAAAAACATACAAATTTATATATGTAAGTAAGTGTATGCAATTGAAAATATATTCTCGTATAAATTTTACTTAATGTAAATACTATCTAAATGAATGTTTTTATTGCTTAATTTGTCTGTAGGTGGCAAATTAAAACTAAGTATATCAGCAACATATCCAGTACCGTTAATTTTCTATTAGCATTTTCAATAAAATGCACAATTTGCTTTTAATTATTCGCCGTTAAAAAAAAAAAAAAAAAACTGGGAAAACGTGCGCACCTTAGTTTTTCCAAATATTATTTTATGTATTTGTACTCGTACTCCTGCATTTGTGTGTTTTACAAAAACAAAAATACAAAAAACGAAACAATTATTTTAAAATTCTTTTAAATAATTTTAGTTTTAATTTAAGTTTATATGCAACTGATCGTTAAACGATTTTTGGCCTGCTTTGTGTTGTAACACTTACCGGTAATTGTTATTGTACAAGTACCTATTTGTATCGTTGCACTATAGTGAATGCATATTCATATTCTTATTAGATCGATTAATTGTATGTGTAAGTACGATGAATGTAATTTTATGTAAATGTTTAAGGAGCAGTCGTATGAATAAGAGCGGGCAAAATGGTCAATGGCATAAAGTGTGTAATAAAATTTATTTTGAAGCAAAAGAATTGTGAGTTTTTATTTATGAACCTTCGCAAGCCATTCCGTCGCAGGAATAATGAAATACATAGTTTAACATGAAAAGTATAGTTTGGAAGATTTTATAAACCATTACAAACCATACAATTACAATTTCATTTTCGGGAATAACTTAGTGAGCCAAAGAGATATTTAAGAAAAGTAAAGATTTTTTCAATAGATTAAAGGATTGTCTGCCCAATGTGGCATTTACACTGTTTCTTTATTCGAGCGACGATTTGACACTTACTAGGAAAATATCAATAGAAAAACCTATCAGCAACTATGGGTCCATTGAGGTTTTCGCGAAAATTTTTGTCTTAACGGAGTCAGACCTGGGCGTTCGCACAGCAAAACCAAATACTGAAAATCGAATAATTAAGAAAATCGAAAACTATATATATTTTCGAAGTCGCGTGAAAAGACCCAATTATGTGCTCGAAAATAGCATGGAATTCTCTACACCATTCATCTAATTTCTAAACCTGACGAAGCGGTGCTCACTCTTTATTTACTAAGAGTCTTTAGCATCTAAATTTCCAATTAAATTATTTGATAAAAAATAAAAAAGTATCAACTTAGTGATAAATACCTTCACGGGAACAATCCACGACACTTAAAGAATTGATTTCGGTGGAAAAAGAAACACTTGCTTTAATGGGTCCACCGCCAAATGCAATTAAACTGATCAGTCGATATCGCGCCGATTCCAGTAGTTTTTGAAATCTACCATTTGTAGAGTGGAGGGGTAAGTAAATGATGTGGAATTTGCATTTATGGCTTTTGCTTCTCCCTCTCTAAGTACGACCGTTTTTTTCTTTTATCAACTGTCACCCCGACCTTTTTCTACCTTCCTCCATGAAGTCGAAACACTGTGCGGCGCCACCGCTGCATATTTACCCGAACAAGCTCCCACTTTGGACAATTCGTCTACTCTCTCGTTGACATTGATGTTACTGAAGCCGGAAACGCAGACAAGATAGATGGACATTAACTGAGTACCCAGCATCGATGCCTCACTGATGACAAGTAATGGCATTTGATTCCCCTTTCGTTACTTTTTCTATTGAAGTATGCATTACATTTAACATTGCGTGCCATTGGCCTAATTGGCTTCTGCTGCATTACTTTTCATCACAGCAGAAATGTCCCTCTTTCTGCATTACCTATAGAATAGCATTACGCTCAAAGTAATGCAGAATGGTTTAAACAGTAATGCTGCAATTAAGCACTAGATGAAAGGTGATGCAGCTTATGTGATGGTGATATATAGAAATGTCTAGCAAAACATTTTTATCAAAATGTAATGCATATAAAATAAGAGTTCGCCATCAATTGCCCGTCAATCGATGAAAGTAATTCGAAAAAAAAAATTGATGTAGGATTTGATAGATACATTGGAATTGATTGATTACATTTGATAAGCAGTTTATGCATATTATAATGCCATTGCATTACTTTGGAGTCGAATCTGGAGTTGGTGGCGTTCTCATGCAATCGCATTTTGGTTGCTGGGTAACCGAGTATCGTCGTCCCAGTGTAGGCAATACTGTCCAGTGTTGTCGTTTAAAAGACAATAATATCTCTCCGTGCAATCAAAATAACCGAAAACCCTTGCCAGTCTAAGCCATAATTATAAATCTCAAGTACGGCCAACTGAAACCCCGCAATGGGTTCAATCCCACAAAGATAGTTGAGGAACCTTCAGCTCGAAATACCATGGGTCCTCTGCCTATTGTAATTAAAAGCCTGCTGCCAGGTCTATAAATCCACATACTTATGTATATACCCTCCAGTACTGCTGGAGTCAATCGCTACTTTTGAACCGCTCCTGCACCGACTCCTAGGTAAGTAGCTACTCTATTAACCCGTGGTGGTGCACAGGGTAGTGCAGAGTCGAACCAGAGGGCGAAAAACTACAACAGAGGGTGCCCATAACGCACGCAAGTGACTACATTAGTAACCCCCGGTACTGCAGAGAGAGCCGATGGTGACTACCGCCTAGGACATTGCCTTGTAAAAGTAATCGATGAAATACACTGCAAGTAGTCGGTCGGTAATTGACGGTGTTTATCAGGTAGCTACCGATTCAGCAGTCCTGTAGTCACTACCCCGTACTGCAGGGTATGTATACCCGGTCCGCCTCTGTGTCAGTGTATGTATAGAGCGCGCGCAGTTTATTGATCATATTTTTCGGTACCCATCGCTCATTCTAATCTATGCATCGTTAACGTTTCTATCACGAAAAGATAATTTTGAAGTGGTATTTTTGTTCGGCGGGTAATCGCCTACTTAGTACTGGCAATAGTGAATGCTGGTTTTTGTGTAAGTCATCAAACCTCTTTATGACTTTAGCTGTTAACTGATTAGCAGCATTTATGACACCTTCCAACATCAGAGAGATCCTTATCAATCTGAAAGAAAATATACACTTTCTGCTCAACATTTTGCATAGCCGAATCCCAAAGTAGGGCATCAATAAGAGGATCCCTTTCGTATTATCGTGAGTGGTTTTCTTTATTTATTTATTATTATTATTATCAACAAACAGGACGCTTACAGACTATATGACAAATATATACATAGAATAAGGGAAACCCTTATGACAAGTGCCTTATGAGTAAATTCTTAAAAGTAAACTTTGAGTAAGAAAAATCGAAGTCTAAAGATGAAGAATAAGCATTAAATTGGGAGAGAGTCCTCCTTAAAGGAGCATTCATACCATAAACAGTTTTAACAACACCCACAAAAAACAATTCATTACAACGAAGAATACGTGAGGGAACATTAAAACGAATATTCATAAGGAGGTGCGAACAATCTATAGAACCTACAATTATGTCAAAGACAAAGCACATCGATAACAAAGTACGCCTGGACTCTAAGGACATGAGATTTATCAACAAACAACGAGAACGATAGGACGGAATAGGGTCTACAAATTTCAACGGACGCAAAGCAAAGCGTATAAAAGCCCTCTGAACAGACTCCAATCTGTTCACATGAACTGTATGAAAAGGTCTCCAAACAAATACAGCGTATTCTAACCTCGACCGAACTAAAGACGAATACAACAGTTTGAGAGTATAAGGATCGGAAAATGACGAGCAGTTGCGACGAATAAAGGCCAACATCGCGAATGATTTAGAAACAATAAAGTTTATGTGGGTGGTGAAGGTGAGCTTGGAGTCAAAATAAACACCCAAGTCTTTAACATCAGTAATTGATTTTAGTGGGACATTCGAAAAACAGTAAGAGGTTGGAACAATAATAATCACTTTTGCAAAA